CTTGAATCGAAGAAAGCAACCAATTGAGCATAGCGAACAACCATTCCATTAGGTAGGCTTCATGATCATAGCATAGTTTGAACAATTGTTACTTCAATAATTTTGTATTTATTATTCCTAGTATACGGCCTAATTTGCATGCGCCTGGGTTGTTGCAAAAATATGGGGACAATTGGTGATGTTATTTTTTACTGAAATATGATGAGCAAGCAAATCTTAAAACTAAAAGTGTGCGTCAACTTGTTTAACTAAGTTTTAAAATAAATACATTATTTTTGTTGGTATAGTTTTTCATCTAGTTTCGTCTATAGTAACTTTCAGAGGTGCCTGTGAACTTGTTTGAGGTATATTTGTCTTGTTTTCTAAGGTTGAAGACGCTGAGAAGCAAACAGAAAAGAGTGATCAAGAAAGATGGACATGGATTTAACTGATCAAGGGGCAACAACTTCAGAAAACGATTTTCAGTCACCTACTCTAATTTTAGAACATTTATGACAAACTTCAGCACTAGCCTTTTTTTCAAGATTGAGTGAAGATACGAGCAGTACGTGAGAAAGCCAAGCAACGCGGAAGGGGGATGTAGCCACCTACCTTGCGCATGTGAGTGTGTACTGTCTTCTCCTATCTTCGACACTTTGAGCATTTTATTTTCCAACTCTGAGAAAATATACACTTATAATGGCAATTGTTAAAAATTGCCATTGTAGTGCATTTTTTGAGTTTAAAAGTAAAATGCTGTAAATGTCGAAGATATCAGTAGAAGAGTATTCAGTCAAGAAAGAGGTTCACCTATGAGTTCGTCGAGAACGCCGGGTACCAGATTAACTTTTAGGTTTACAGTATCGCTGAAGATAATTTGGTTTAGTGATGTGTGAATAGACAAAAAAGAAGTCTCACTGTGTCTGTCAATCTTTTTTTCTCTACTGTATTTAAAAACTTGCATTATGGAGTCTAAAGGTAAAATCACACCGTATTAAAGCAGGTTTTTTCATCTTCCTTACTGGAACTTGTGGTCTTCAGACGTCTGTTAAATCCACCTACAGCTTTCATTTTCTTTCCACATCATGCACGTCTTTTCGCGCTCAATTAAACTCTCTTATATTGCCCAACTAATTCGACAACTAAACTGAAAGGTTTCCATTTTTATCTGTCTGCAACAAGCCGCCTTATGGTGCTCTCAGGTTTCCTGCTGTTTGACTCAGTCGAAAGAGACCATCAGCCACCACTGATATTTGCCCGGTATTTCAAAAACGTACGAACATCGATAAAAATGATATGGATGGTGAGTTCAGTGAGTTCTCAGGCTATGCCACAAAGTAACATTACTGTTATATGTTCTAAGTTCGGGGATTATCTGCAAAGGCTTTTTTGCCTGTCTCTTGATTATAAATCATGACATATCAGCAGCGGCGGAGCAAAAGAAAAAAGGTGGGGGGGGGGCGAAAATAAAACTTGAAATTTCGTCTCAGAGCGGAAAAACTTCACCCCGATGTCAAGTCACGTATTTGAAAAAAATGGGAGTTGGTCACGCATACAACAAAATTAAATGCAGGAAACCCAACAGATTCATTAGAAACCGAATCCATTAAAGTTTTGTAAAGACGCTATTTTTGGGGGACTTAAAAGTCCTAATGAGTTGACCGTGGTAAAATAAAAGAAAGTTACTTATTATTGTACAAAAGACAAAAGTCCGGAGGGGTGGGGGGGTGGGGCACCCCCTACAAAAAAAGTGAGAGCACTGAAAGCCCCCCGCTTCCGCCTATAATTAAATAAGTCACTGGGATAACAGACCTAATAGCCATTATAATCTTAACATCTCAATGTGATGGAAATGAAAAAAAGAAGCGGAATGTCTTATTTACACGGAATTTTGAATATAAAATATGTTTAATATGTTTAATAAGCTAAACATGTTAAATATGTGTAATATGTTAAATATCTTAAATTATATAATAAAATATTTTCAATTGACTGCTAACACTCGACCGATGATTTCCGCTTACTATACGACAGTCAGACTTTCGAAGCAAAGAAAAGAAAACGGAAGGAATCACTTACTCATAATAGTGATACATTGTTTACCTGAGACCCCTGTAATGCTCAAGATATAGAGTACGGGGGCACCCAACGATTGTTTTTCTGTAATGCTCGAAGCAGAAACCTTGCTAGGGGTTTACGGGGACGGGGGGAGGGAGTTATGTGTTGGAGGACTTAAGGCGTATGTTTACAAATGCAGTTGCCTTGCAAACGAGGCTGTGGTCACTCACGATCATTCAGTACCGTGTGGCACGAAATTTTGCGGGTTCTAATTTTTTGCGATTTTTGCGTTTTTTCAGCGATCCACAAAAATAAGTTGCCGCAACTAAAAATAGCCGCAAGACATTTTCCCGCAAAAAATTACTCCGGAGTAAATATTCTCCGACTTAAATTTACTACACAAAAATACAGTACTAAGAAATCGTATCTGTTCAATTACAACTTGTCTCTTTCGTTCAGAAACAAAGCGGTATACGATGAAATACTGACGCACACCGTAGTATTGGCCCAGAAAATATGCATTTCTATTGCACGTACTCAATAAAAACGAAACTATTGTCAATGCTGGGGACTGGTACTTTCTGAAAATCGCGAAAATAAATTCCCAGCAAATGAACAAATCTGTGCTAATAGCAAAAATTAGTCCCCGCAAAACACAAAAAATCGCATATCCGCAAAAATAAACTCCCGAAAAAATTTCGTGCCACACGGTATGGATGAAACAGCTCTATTATTCATCAAATTCCTTGTTGGCTCGATAAAGATAGCCTGTGTACAGACGTCCCCCCTCCCTCAGGAAAAATCTGGAGAGTAGAGGCTAGCCGTACATCTTCACGCAATGTCCACCCAAAAATTCAGATAAAAGATCTCTGATTAGAGTCAAGCCAGGTCAAGCGTACCTCACAAGATCCCATTAATGTATTTATTATTCGAAAGTTGAATACGTTGGTAGTTGTAGAATCATCTCTGTGTGCATTCTTGCATGCGTAATAAGCGGTGAATTCACACGCGATTCAGTTACGAAATTTCTACCAGCTCTGCAGTTTCCCTAAATTTGATGTAAATGTCTTCTAAGACATTTAATCCATTCAAAGATTTGCAATCTTACTAAATGCAGAGAGTTCCCGTAAAATATTCACTGCTCATTTCGCATGCATGAATGCCGATTCAAATTTGACACCAGTTTATTAATACAGGAACGACTAACCCTTGACTAAAGGATTCATTTTTTCAGATAATCAATTCATTAATAGAATCTTTTGGGCTAAAATTGACCTGCCTTGGCTGTAAACGTGGGGTTTTGTACGTTCTTCTCTTTTATTTAAAAATACCAACCGGTACAGACAGATGCACCCCGCAACCGGTGCAGCAAACATCGGTGGTCTTAACCTGAGATCAGGCGTTATTTTTTATTATTATTATTATTTTGCTTGTTTGGCTCGAGAGAGAAAACAAAACAGATTACAGAGATAAAGGGAGAGGGCATGATTGCAGGCTACGGTGGTCTTAACTTCTCACTCTTACTCTAGAGAGCCGAAATACAAATACTGGTAAACAAATATGAATGTCCCGGAGTAGTCAATCGATAAAAATCGGTATATAGATTTATCAATCGATAAATCGATAAAAAAATCGATAAATCTGATTTGATTAATATCGATTGTATCGATCAATCGGTAAAAATCGATGACACACTCGTTTCGTTTATCGAATAACCTTGATTTTTACCGATTTCATCGATTTATGTCGGAAGATCTGTTCATCTGTTCATCCAAAAATCAAAACTGAAACAGTAATATCACTTTTAAAAAAATCTGATAAATCTTTTCTTCAAAACCAGGTTTAAAATCTTCTTATGGTTTGTAGTCCAGTTTTTCACGATTGTACAAAACGAAGAGTTTTAGAGAGAAACTTGTGTGTGTAATACTGTAGTTTCCACATTTCACGTTTTCATGTTTGTTGATCAGTTGTTACTCGTGGACGTGTTTTCTCATCGGTACTATCCGAACACAAACAATATTGGCGGACTTCCGTTATTTTTAGTTAAAATCATGAAAAATCGATAATATCGATTTGACACAGCAATTCAGTTTATCGATTTTCACCGATTTCCGTTATCAATCGATAAAAATCACTTGATTGCTATCGATTTTTATCGATTGACTACTCCAGGTCATGAATGAAGGTCCCAGTAGGTTTTTCGTGATTCGGGATTCGCCTTACTTCAAGGTCGGCATTCGGGATTTTAAAAGTATGCTGGGGGCGAGATTCGGGATTGAAAGAAGGCACAGGATGCGGGATGCCGAAAAAAACCCTCGGGATTACGGGATTTGGGAAAATTTGGGTCGGGATGACGGGATTAAAGAACCCTATTGAGGACCCTCATGAATCGCCTGCCGAGAAAAATTAAAGCGACCGTGAAACGCAGGCCTTTAAGGGTAGCATTGGAACCCAGATAGACGCTTCGGGGATGTATGCTTCTGTTGGAAGCTGTTTGACAGTTTAAGGAGCCCCAATGCAACTCAAATAAAAACGCAAAAACGCACGAAAAGGACTGGCAACCACGAAGGCGACGGCAATGAAAACTTCACTTAAAAAGTGAATTCGCGCCGTCTCAAACTTCATTCATTCTCGTCGTTTAATTCAATGTACTTCAACTGACAAACCCGAGGCTGACAGTGTGCTCATTCTCCCCCCCCCCCCCCCCCATCTCCTTCTCTCTCTCCATTAGTGCTCCGTTTTATAGGTATTCAACGCTAAGTGAAGCTACACGGAAAGGAAAGGAAAGTCAAAAGCGTGAAGGATTTCAGATCACATCGGGGAGTCGATCTCGGAACCTCCCGCACAGAAGGTACAAATGAAAACCAAGTCTTCTTACCGGCCGGGGAGCAAGAGGCCAATCATTTTCTCCAGCAATTCTGTTTATAATGGTGTCTGATCCATGAATAAATTCTCCACCAAGATCAACTGGTGCAAAACCCTTGAAAGGCTGTACTTGCTCTGCCGCCAAAATAGTCAGGGGCCTCCAAAAGTACAACATCAAACCCAGCTTTAGAGAGCGATGCTGTGGCAGCAAGACCTGCTACTCCTCCACCAACAACAGCAACTTGATTATCAGGACAAGATTCAGTGCTCCCTACATATAAAAACGTTAAGCTACCGTTAAACGGCCAACAAAATCGTTTCTTTTGCAACATTGCTGCAAAATTAAAACGAGTTGTAAAGCGATGTTATTAGTTTTACCACCCACGTTCAAACCAGTCGTGCAACAAATTAGTTTGTTGCAAGTTGCGTGAATACTGACTTCTTATTGGTTAAAATTACGCGGAAGGCACGCTATACACAGATCAGGTTGATGAAAGGTTGATGCAGCTTCCGAAAAGTTGTTGTAGAAGAAGAGAGGTCTTCTACCTTTTGCCACAAAATCTGATGATGTTTCGCGTTTTAACAGACCAAGGCAACCGTGTTTTGCAAAAAATGACGTAGCTCCCGTGTATCGCGTAACTAACACGTAATTTTATCCAATCAGAAGTCGGTATTCACGCAGCTTGCCCAAACCTGATGTTGCAAAAGCCCGTTTCACTTCATACTGAATCACCTTCCACTGACTTACACTCGAAGATAAAATTCGTATCCACGCGCGGGCATGTGATATCCTCTATATGTCAATCACTTTATAATAATATGGGTTAGGTTTCATGTGTATTGTAAGGAGTCGAGGGGAGAAGCGCGCTATCCAAACCAAGTTGTGCCGAAAATATCTGTGAGTGAGTGAGTTGCGAAAACTCTGACTTTGGGATTCGTTATTGTGAATAAAGCTAAATCAAGTGAATTGTCATGGATTTCTATGAATACGGGAGCGATTCCCGACAACGATAAAACTAAGTTGTTTGTATGTAGTACTGTACTGATGGTTGAAATATGACATTGATCCAGGATCCAGCTTTGTGTGTTAGAAATTTGGGCGTGTAGTTTGCATGTTTTTAAAATACCAAATTTTGATTTTATTGTTTTTATAACACGTATTAGATGCATCAACAAGTACCGTATTTATATTGTTTATAGTCCAGTCAATCTATGCATTCCTGAGAAGGCCAAAATGTAATAAACGACCCTAAATGTAATAACGTCTTAGATATAGTCACCTTTTGCCCTAAATGTAATAAACTCTTACGAGTGATAACATTGGGCCTTATTAAGAGGCCCTGATTGTAAATATCGAGAGTCCGCCGACAGTTGCAAAATTTCATAATTTAATTTATTCCACCAAAAAGACCCTTTTGGTGAACTATTTTCAAAACTGGAAGTAAAAAGTTCCATCGCGCTTTGCTTTTTCCGAAAAATCCAAAAGTTCAAATTACGCCAAGGCGGCCCTCCTACCCCCCGGAAAAACAATGAAAAATTCTGCAACTTTGCTAACTTCGTACGCGACAAGGCGTTGAATTCTCAGTTTGCTATTTTGTTCATTGGTGAAAGACCTCTTTGTGTTTTGCAAAATGTAAACTTCATGTAATTTTGTTATGTTTAAGGCAACATAAAAACCTACTGAAATAACTCACTTTCAATCTTTTTGGTTTAGGTGAAATAAAGGGCAACTTTAAAGGCCTATAAAAATCCTAGTATCGAAATTTACGTCTCATATTGTACATCAAGTGATAGCCTTATCACTTGTTTTATCCTTATTGTGGCTGCCACTCGTAGCAGTAGTAGGCACAATGCTGGCAGTTTGTAAGAGTGAGTGTAAGTAGTCCTAACCTTCGGAAAGTGCTCGGGATTCTGACGGACACTGCCGACACTGTTACTTGTTGCTGTTATCGTCGACCATCGTGGATGGTGAACAGAAAATGTCCTTCGAGACGCACTTTCTTCCTAAGTGGGAACGAACCAAAAACTCAACAAGATTATATTTTCTAAGACAGCTTAAGAAATCGCATGTTGCCACAAGAGAGCTTCTTCTATTTTACATCACATGCATTCGCTCTATTCTGGAGTATGGCAGCCCAGTTTTTCATCGCGCTCTACCAAGTTATCTAAGCGAAGACCTAGAAAGACTGCAAAAACGCGCTGTGAAGATTATTTACCCTGAGCTATCATATGTTAATATAAGGCTCTAGAGCTGTCCGGACTTTTAACACTGTATGATAGAAGAGGGGCAATTGCGGCAAAGTTGTTCGATGAAATATGTGCTAATCAATCTCACAGTCTCCACAAACTACTTCCAAGAAAATACCAGCCAAGCTACTCTCTGAGAGAACAAAGAACATTTATTCGTCCAAAGGGTAAAACTGAAAGATGCAAGAATAGTTAGAACTAGATATAATTTTGTTCCTTATTGTATATAGGAACTTGACGCAGGTTTTTAAATTTGTGATTTTATAACAGTTTTAAAAAGGTAAATTATGTTCGATCATCTTTCTTTAATTAGTTGTAAAGCGCTTTAATTAGTTGTAATTTAGTACAGTTGTAAATTATTACATTTGTAAACCTTATCGCAATTCAGCTCTTGGCTGCAAGTTTTTAAGGTGAATAAACTATCTATCTATCTATCTATCTATATATCTATCCATCTATCTATCTATCTATCTATCTATCTATCTATCTATCTATCTATCTATCTATCTATCTATCTATCTGTGTTTCGAAAACTCATGTCTTTCACAGTCGGGAGTTATCGTCGACGCGAAGGTGAGTGATCGACATCGACGGTGTTGCGCGCCTTGTCGAAATATCATCGGTTGTAAGAGTATTTACTTGCTATGTGCTTCTTGGTTTTTGCCTTCTGTCTTGTTGGGTTCAATTCAAGGAGAGATCTTTCTCTTTTTCTGATAATGATTCTGTGCTATTTCGCACCTGCAACCAGGTAAGGCTCTCAATTTACGTTTCAATTAAGTGTTTTTCTCCAAAGCGGTTTTCGGCTTCACTCTTAAGAGAAATTATTATTTATTGTTGTGTTACACATTATGTTATGGTTCAAAAGGCATGGTTTAGGAATTGTCCAGTCCATTGACCTTTTAAATATGATACAACTAATGAACATTTTGAGCAGATTTAAACAGGTCACCTATTCTTAATTCGTTGTGGTTACAGCTTAACGTTCAAAAGGCATAATTTCACAGATCAGCTAATCTCTTGAATCTGCAACCCATAGACATTCGGAGGCAGTTTCAAACGCGATACTTTTAGTTTAAAAAAAAAATTCTTTTTTTCTGTAGTTTTAGACCGTTATGATTTAAAATGAATATTCGGGAATTTTTATCCATCATCCGATCTTAACTATCATTAACTTTATGATATTTTTAATGTCTGTTATCCTGTGGGCTTGTACATGTTATTGTGCAGTTAATAAAAGGAATGCAGCCTGTCCAATATTCATTCTACTTTGCAGTAGTAGCCACATGTAGTCATCGACTACCTATTTTTATCTCCAACTGTCGTTTTTAGCCGAAAAATTTAGCATGACTGCATAAAGCAGGCAGCCGTGACACAGCCCCTTTAAAATGACGTATTACTTACGTATCACTGACGTCATTGATGTCGTTAAGACATTTTGAAATGTTTAGGCCTTAAAAGGCCTAATCACTCTTCAAAGTTTATTACATTTAAGGCAAAAAGTTATTCCTTTTAGGACTTAATTACATTTAGGGTCGTTTATTACATTTAGGCGTCCTACAGCATTTGTCATGCTCAACCCCGGCGGAAGGGTCAACCAGCTATGCAACAAATTGTTTTCAAATAGCGGACATACATTGCAACACGGTTTATTCACTTACCAAGTTACATGTTGTTAGGATTTTAAGGGGGTCGTTCCCATTTTAAATTCAATTGACGTTACTCGTTAGGAATGAGTCGATTTGCTCTAGTGACTGTGGTTATCAATTTTATTTCCCGAAATCATGCTTTCACGTTCAAACGTGCTCTGATCACGTATGGCAAAAAGTAAAAGAGACTTGAGTTACTATTCGTTGTTAAATCATTTCATAGTGAGTCGGTTATACGGAGGGGAGTTAAAGCATTGCACTTTCGGCTGTGATTTCACCAAACATGTACAAGATTTTGGAACAAAATTACATGTAGTATCAAACAAACACTGTGACCAACAGTGCGGAGAGAACACTGAACAGCAGGATAATTCGGAACCGTGACTTTGCGGCTGGGGAGGCCCAACACCATGTACAGGTCAATGCCCCTTGGAAGAAATAGACCAATCGAATTGATTGTTCATACACTACTTTACACTCGAACCGTCTTATTTGAGCTCATTTTGAATTTAACAGCAGCCGGTGCAACAGATACTGAAGAGAAGACACTTAGTTACCCGAAGAAATATGGGGTGCTTTCAAGGCCTGGCTATCTTAATCGTTGTATGCACAGTAATAATATGTGCTCTCCAAATTCTGTGTTTCTTTCTGTCGAAGAAAACCAGAAACGTTTCGTCATCGAGGATAAATGAAGACTTGAACGGACATAATTGCGAACCCGGAAATCCAAGGAAAATCAACAAACAGTGGCCTCACTTGAATCGAAGAAAACAACCAATCGAACATAGCGAACAACCATTCAATCAGGTAGGCTTCATGACCATTACATAGCGTGAACAATTGTGACGACAATTAATGATTATATATTTTTATAAAATAACTGAGATAGTACGCGTGATCTGATTGGTCAAAAACCTATGGTTTATTATACCGGTAAACCCATAGAAAAAGGCATCCAGACCACGAGCCATAAACAAAACCGGCTATCGATCTGCAAACAACGACTTTAGAAAGGCTAAAAAACAGAACAAGTTACTTACCCAGCCCTTCTTAATATTAAAAGCGTTGGTTTCCACATTTTATTACTAAGCGTCACAATTCGCTACTGCCATAGCTTTAGAAGTTATAAAGTACAAAGCTGGAAAACAGTTTATATTTCACGACGATGCCAAATCGCGGAGAAAGACAACAACTGTGTGAATTTCTGGTGTAGAAAGTCTCTAGGAAAACTTAACCATTTGCCAACCAGCAACAAAACGGATAGTTTTAGCATTCTTGATTTATTTTATGTCAAAATTAAATTCCTTAATGAAAGAACTTGTTCAAAAAAGACATC